CATCTGATCAGCAGCTCCTGACTGATCACACTGATGATCAGTTGATCAATACATCTGATCAGCAGCTCCTGACTGCTAGTTCCTGTCTTCACTAGTGGAAACAGCAAGGCTGACTTTGTTTTTCCATTTTAGCTTTTATTTTATATGTCAAATCCTGGAATTGACAGAGGGCGTACTCTTTGTTTGCAGTGACTGCACATTTATGATGATGAGTTAATAAAGTCTAGAGAATGTACATTTTTAAAAGATTAAACAGTATTTTCATGTTCTTGTTTTATACGTTATTATTTATTTGACTGAAAATACAGCCAAAAATCTTTCAGAACTTGAGCTCGGGCTGACTGAGAGCTGAATAATGACTCTGCCAGACATCTGAGCGCAGAGCGCGAGGAAATTTACAAGACATCAGCGAGGATCAACAGTCTGATCAAACCCCGGAGATACGCAGTATATTAAGGCTCCGCTGCAACCGAAATCAAATGGAGCAAACCACAAGCTATAAGTTGAAGCAAAAAGTCAGGATATGAATTATTTTATCAGCCTTTGAGTGACGGCTCGTGAGCTCCTGCAGCAATGATACGTCAGCAGCATTTCATCAATACAAAGCTGCTGTAAGTGCTTTTAAAGGCTTTTACTGTTCATTAATCTAAACCCAAATCCATCAGGCTAAAAACTCCCCGCTGATGAGGACAGCTGTAAATAACTGTTTCTCAGCTCATCAGAGGTCCAGAGAGCCCCAGCAGAGTGTGAAGCCTGAGACACATCCAGACCTGCAGAGCTCATGGCGTCGACTTTTAATAAGATCCGGTGTGACTTCTCGCTGTCATTTTTCAGCCTTCAGTCGGATCGTCTGAGCAGAAAGTGGTGTGGAGCCGGGGGGAATTAGCAATCCTCAAACTAATCTACTGAACCTGTGTGCTTCTCCACCAATTAATCCTGTTTGTCCTTGTGCTAATTGCTTCCATATGCCAAATAAATCCACGGAACAGAAAAGTTTTTATCCGACTTTTCACACAGTCGAAGTTCCTCTTTTAGGCTTGTTTATCTTCTTTATTGTGACTCGTTCCAATATTTTTCTTCTTCTCACCATTTTTGTCTCTGGCTCTTCAGCACCTTAATGAGAACCTGGCCAAGCTCACCACCAAGTTTGAGAAAGCCACCTTGGCCAAGGTCAAGTGCCAACAGGAAGCAGAATCAACGGCCCGTACCATTTCGTTGGCCAACCGCCTGGTGAGGACGACATCATCTAACCCTAACCCTAACTCAAACATAACTACACACCCAGTGAATCACAAATACTCCTCTTTTCTGTTTATTTAGCTGCAGAAGGAGTCTACACTAGGTTTAATTTGAAACATTTTGCATGTTTTTCATGAAACGTTACATTTTTGTCTCTTTACCGTTTGGTATGCTTTTTTCTGGGCAGTTTATACCTCCATCTTTGTTACCGGGGTGTTACATGTACCAGGACAAATGCTTTCTCAGCAGCACACCCTATCCCCAATTGCTCCCCGGGTGCTTTCAATAGCTGCCCACTGCACCACCTGGGAGTGGATGGGTTAAATGCAGAGAGCCAATTTTGCCATTGAATGGGAACATATAATGATGACAACACATAACACATTATTATAATTCAATTAATGCAGTATTTTCTGTTCCAGGAGAATTAACACAGCTACAGAGGAGTACTGTAAGTTATTTAACTCCTGATTCTCTTACTGAAATCTTTATCTCTCTTTGTTTAACATCACAATGCAAGTACATCAGTCCACCCATCTGTGCTTGGTAAGCCTGAAAACTACTCAGCGTTTTACAGAACTACATATACGGACACAAGTTTCAGTTCCACAACTTTGAGAAAAAAAAAATCTTTACTGTAAATATTCCAAGAAAATGCATCATGCGCAGCAGTACAAATAATATCTGATCAAATAAAATCAAATAAAATTACCCCATAATATGAAAACAAAAAGACACAAATAATTTGTACTCACTCTCACTTTGGTTGGCCTTGTTGCTGTTTTAAGTGCTTTATAAATAAAGTGGTATGGTAGAATGTAAAATCCAGACAGAGTGGTGGAAATTAAATGAAACATATGCGTTGAAAGGTGTTAGAATAATACTAATAACAGATCTAATGAAATAAGGAGGGGTGGTGGTGCAGAGGTTAAAGAAGCAAGCCTGGTTGATATCCCTCTGACCATAATCTATAGGTGGGAAAAGGGAAGCACCCACATCTGCCCAGCTTGAACAAAGGCCTTCAGATCTACTTCATAAGAGTTAACAGAGGTAGCATGTGGACACACAGCTGGTCCCATGCCAGTAGGATGAGACCCCCTCATCAGACCTGGATATAAGTAGGGATTCAGTGCAGCGCAGCACACGTGTTGTCCAGATTTTTGATTAGGGAAAGATCTGGGAATCTTGTAAGCCCAGGAAGACCTCAACATGACTCAAACAGCTCATACGGTCTTAGGATGGGTAAGACACAGGAATAGACTGTGTTTATATAGTACTTTTCTCATTTTTCTGACTTTAAAGCTCTTTCACACTTTCTAAAACACCCATTCACACACACTGATTCTCAAATCAGGATCAACTTGGTTCAGTGTCTTCCAAGGAATCTTTGATAAATGTGTGAGCTGAGATGAACCACCAGACTTCTGACTGTCATAGGACCGCTCTTCCTTTCTAAACCCCTGCCAGGTTTAATCCCAGGATGTGTCTGATGTAACGCTGTGCTGTTTGAGTTCTTTGAATCAGAACTAATGGTGGACCTGGAGTCAGACCCTGTCTCTCCCCTCATCATGATGGCAGGAGTAACACTGGTTTTTCTCACCACAACATTGGCAGCAGTGCTTCTCTCCACTCAGCTCGACCACACAGAAAAACACAATGGTGATTTGTGATAATGCAGAACAAAGATCCATTACAGAACTGATACAGCATCACTAGTCATCATCAGTCCATGCCTCCTGGTTATGGCACCACATCAGTTGCAGCTGTCTCAGCTTTAGTGTTAATGGCAGTCTACACATGGGATGATGCCCGTCATTGAAACAAGATGATACTGGGTGTTGTAAAGAGTCCAATACCTCTGTCTAATTGGCTGGTGTAGATGCTGCTTGGTGCAGAGTATTTTTCAGTGTTGTTTATCTTTGGTGACTAGAAAGATGTGCGCAGAAACCTTCACATACCCAATGGTTCCAACATGAGTCCACTGATGACACTGATATTACTATTGATTTTTTCTTACTGTCAGTACTTATACTCTCTGGTACCCATGCTAGATGTGCAACTCCTTGCAAAGTGAACCATTTACATCCCCATCACTGGTCTGAGGGTGTGAAACAAAATATATCTACAACAGACCATATCTGCTGGGTGCTGAACTTGTTAAAATCAGTGTGTTTAAATTGCACGGCCACAATCCGCCACATTAACATGGACACAACAATGCCACGTTGCACTATAAAAGGGACGTTTTTGGTTGACCAAACATGTCAACCCACACAGATGCACAACAAACAAATTGTTGAAAAGCCACAGTAGGAAAATGGTCAATGGACTGTACTTACTGGTATATAGTGTCTTTCTATCTTATCAAGATACTCAAAGCACTTTACACAACAATCTGTGTCCTCATTTACCCGTTCATACAGCACTCTACTAGATCCCCGGGTACTCCAGTTTCGTCCCACAGACCAAAAACATACATGTTAGACTGATTGGTAACTCTAAATTGTCCCTAGGTGTGAGTGAGAGAGTGAATAGTTGTTTGTCTCATTTGTCTCTATGTGTCCCTGTGATGGACTGGAGAGACTTGTCCAGGCTGTACCCCACCTCTCACACAGTGATAGCTGGACAAGGGCACTAGTGATCCCCATGACCCGAATAAAGGAAGAAGCGGGTAAAGATAATGGATGGATGGATGTTCTGCATAGGATTAGCCCCCAAATAGGTTGTTGAATATTATCTGAAATGGATGAGCCTCCAGATATGTTATGGTCTGTATGTCTAGGAGTGACTCACAAGACATAAAATACATAGAGTCCAGATGTTTTTAAGTTTAAATAAAATATTTTACTAAGCAATCATCTGTACATAAAATGGTAAATGGGAATCCCGGCTAAAATAAACAAAATAGAGGGAGAAGCCTCAAACCAGCCAGCAGTTGACAGTTGGATTTGGGTTGCTCCCCTCACCCTGCAACCAAAAAACAAGTACTGCCAGTAACTCCCAGGCACAGCAAACAACTACCATCCAACCATTGTCTCTCCTCTCTGATCTCCCTCACTAGTCTAGTAGGCGGAGCTCATTTATTTTAAATCTCTGCAAGCTAATCAACTGAAAAGGAAGAACACATCAATGGGCACTCAATAACAAACATGACACAAGAACACGTAACACCTTCTTCTTCTTTTGGCTTTTCCCTCTTCAGGGGTTGCCATAATGAGTCATCCTCCTCCATTTCACTCTGTTCTCTGCATCCTCTGTCCTCACTCCAATTACCCCCATGTCCTTGTGGTCTTCAACTAACAGTAGCACAGTTTCCATCGGCACCCTGTTTGTCAACAGCACCGGTGACGGTCGTTGTTAAAACAGGCCTTGACTGATGGAGGCATCAACTTAAAACACATTGTAGAACGGTGCTTTATGAAGTTCAGTCCTTTTCCTTGTATTAGTTGACTGGCAGATCTACCGCAGATCTGCCACATTCAATTTGGCGGATGCGCTGATGACCAGCCCGCTCAACGAGGCGTCTACAGCCAAACCATCTGTTCTCTGTTCGGATCGTTAAATTTGTGATTGACATGACAGTGACCAGTCAGCTGAGGAGGAAAATCCAGGTCAAAATTCGTACTTTTAAAATAAAACTCACAGGAAGAGATTCACGCATAGATTTTGAATTTGTATCTGTGAACAGAACATTGTAAAAAAGTTTTGCATATGGTGATGTTTTTTTTAACAAATACAAATCTTTTTGACAAGGTTATAAATCTTTTTTACACATGCAAAATATTTATGACCAGAATTTGTGCCCATAGGTATCAGACCTAAAGTTGCATTATAGGTTTTTGAAAGTTGACATCTGAGACCACCTCCTCGGTTTAAAGATGGTTTCTCTCTTTTTTACATAGATGGCTTCCTTCAACAAGGAGATAGAGAGAAGAAAACAGATGGTTTGAGAGGGGGGGGGGGGGTGAACGAAGGCTGACAAGGGAAGGGAAGTTTGAGATTGTCATCATTGTATGTTCCCATACACTGGCAAAACTAGTTCTCTACATTTAACTCATCCCACTGAGATACACTCAGGTGGAGCAGTGGGCAACTATGTTAGCGCCTGGGGTGCAATGAGGGGTTGGGTGTATTGCTCAAGGACACCATGACATGTGTGCATGGCTGGGAGTCAAACCTTTTTTTTGACTTTCTGGTCCCATGTCAGCTGGCCTGCCTCTACCCAATCTCGACCACAAAAAGAAAGAACCTAATGAACCTCTATTGTGAGGAGTGAGGACAATCTGCATGCAAATCTAGTTACAGAACACCTCAATTTATAACTCAAACTCCACACTCTCCATTCTTTGAATGGAAAATGCTTCTCGGATGAGAAGTGAAATGTCTTCAGCTACAAAATAAAGTCCAGTTGTTTTGTTTTTAACCTTTTTTGATTCAGAGCGAGTATTATCAAAACATTTAGCAGGTGTAGGGCTCAGTGTCTCGAGTCTATAATCTGTCGGACTGGTGACAGCTGACTGCTTTACTGAACACAATTAGCTTTATAAATGTTTGTCCCAGCTGTTTTGTTATTTCTTATCAAAATTAATTGTCTTCAGATTCATTTGTTTCATAAAGAGAAATTGCCAAAGGATCACTTTGAGACAGTAAACAGGATTTGATATATTGCTTATGTTTTGGATTATTTTTTCACTTGGGTAGTATTTTAATGAGAAACAAACAAGTATTTGAGAATTCTGATTGATTCATTTAGAACATGACTGGTAGAAATTTAAGCAATACTGTATATTCACGACGTATGTTTAAATATTTAATTGAATGTTAAATATTGACAGCAGTAAACTTGTTGCTCAAACACATCATCATTTTTTATTTAGTCATCTGCTAACACTTGTTTCTAGACAAATAATAATACATTTATGCACACAGAGGATTTATTTAAATCTCATTGTCATCTATGGTTTTGTGAATGTCCTGCTGACAATGGCAAAACAAAAAAAGATGAGTGTTGACAGTGTTAGCACGATAATCTAAATTATTCAGAGAAAGCTTTCAAAAGGCCTGACAGGAGCAACAAAAGGATCGGTTGTGCTAATCTGCTCCTCGGCCCTGAATATCAATGCAAATGCGACCGGCCTTCTGAGATGCACATTGTTTCTGTGATGTGTGCTGAGCTTACGATATGTATTAAAGTTTTGGTGAGATAAGATATTAAGGTGAGCCGTATTCATCACTGATCGGAAATTGGGTCAATGCAATAGTAAAACGGGGAGATGTCGGAACAAGAGCGGAGAGGTTAGAAAAGATAAAAAAACATAATGAAAACAAAAAAATGACTTATTGATGGTGGCATCCATAGATTAATTCCGATTTTGCTTTTACTTAAAACCTTCTTTCACTCACATGGATGAGCTCTTTTGTCTTTTGGTGTGCCGTTGTGTTCAGGTGGGTGGTCTAACTTCAGAGAATGTCCGCTGGGCAGAAGCCATCGAGAGTTTTAAGAGACAGGAGAGAACTCTATGCGGAGACGTCCTCCTTATTACTGCCTTCATTTCCTACTTGGGCTACTTCACCAAACGCTACAGGCTGCTGCTCATGGACGACTTCTGGAGGCCTTATCTCAGCCAGCTGGAGGTAGGAGGCCACACATTTAAAGGAGAGCTTTTTAGACTGCAAAAGGAGAACAAGCGAACTTTAATTAAAGCTTTTCTTAAGCCTCAAGTTGTTTTACAATATCTTAAAATCCAGTTGAAATTTAATATGCATGAACCACTGAACAAAATAATCACTGGGTTTATACGTCTAGCAGGATGTACGTCTAGAACTAGTCGGATTTTGAAGTGAGTGGCTGAAGCAGCTACTCAGCACAAACAATCATTATAATTGTTATAATTCAGTAATTTTAAGTCATTCTCAACACATACTCTGAACAATAACACAGAGCAACATTTTTTTCATGAAACTTGACTTTAGTGAAGTTCAGTTAGCAAAATATGTCAAGAACCACTGGATGGATTTTACACTCCATTAATACCTATGTATGTATACATATGTGGAGTTGACCCAATTCCAGATGGCTGCCAGAGTTAAATACAGTATTCTTAACCAACTAAAAAATGGTTAGAACTTAGTCAGATTTACAGATAACAAGCTACAGTTTTATGTATTAGCTGAGAGGCATCGGCAATGCACTCTGGGCACTTACCTGTAGATGAACATATACTGTGATATATTCATAAATTAAACGGATTCATTCATTTTTCTGGGCTGAATAATATCGTGCATTGAATTTAATTAAATGTAACGTGAGACGTTAATTTTCTTTGACCCATCAAATGAATGTGGTCATTTATTTACAGAATCAAGTTTAACATCAAACATTTACATTAATTTGGCAAAATTGAAAATAACAACATGGCTTAGTTAGCAAGCTGTACAATTAGAAACCCATATGGCGATGGTTTTCTCACTTCAAGCTTCACAACAGACATTTCTGAAAATATCTGGAATGATTTCTAGCAGATAGAAGAGTTTAAAGATGGAAAGATGAAGTTTAGAGGGAGGGAGATGGTGTGTGAGGAAAGTGTTGAACAGAACGGCACCCTCCATTCGAACCCAGCTTTCCTCGGTACGCTCGGTAGTAAACTCGACTCATTACCTCTCTGACGATGAATCAGCGGATACGGAGTTCCAGTTAACGCTACCGGTCCAGCGTCTCCGTAGGATGGCAGAGAACCGTCCGGAGTGGTGGCGGGACTTCATCAACAACAGTTCACCTCACGAGTGGACTCACATGAGTGGAGTCCTTCAGAAGTTCCACTCAGATGTGGAAGATTGCATAATTCCCACAAGACTCGGAAGAGCTCCGGATCATGTCTGAACTCCTGTTCTCTCCAGCACTTCGCAACTCGACTGGAGCTCTCCTGCAACTGGAGCTCGACTGCACTCGACCGCGCCTCGACTGGAGCTGCAAACGACTGAAGCTGCTCTCTGCAAACGACTGAAGCCGGTTTGAACTAGGAAGTACCGACATTTAAAGAGTTCTATTTCCGGTTCATTTGGGAGGTTCCTGATTGGTCAAATCGACCAGACAGGGGTGTGTTTTTGTGACGTAAGAGGTCACTAGAAGTCAGAAAAACAGAAAATGTTTTGGAACAGATTGAAAATGTTTTTAGAGACAGACGAGAGAAATGTTTGGACGAGTTGGGTGAAAACAGGTGCCAGCTTCTCTATATTACGTCTGAGAGGATTTAAAAACATGACAGTTCGTTCCAACAACTTGTTTTCGACCTTTGACCAACTTCACAATTTGCTCATTTCAGACAGAAGATCAGAAAATGCATCATTAACCTGATTTCTACTTTGAATGAGGATAAAAAATCACTAATACTGTTTCACAGTTGATTTAAAATGAGTAGTTCACTTCAACATTTGAAAATGGTTTGAACTAAACACAATTTGATTATCAAAACATTTGTAAAATAGTAATGATAATAGAAAAGAGAGTGTTCTTTCAATTGATCAGTGCAGGACACTTAAAAAGTCTCTGGATGAACTTAATCTTGTGTTTCTGTACTCAAATCAATGAAATACAGTTCTTGTTCCAGGAAGGCCCTCAAGGCCAGATTTTGACCTGAGGCTTAGTTCACTACATACCTATCTTCCTAAAACCTTCAGTATCGCATAAGATCTTGCATAATGCTATTTATAAGATTTGACCATAAGAAAGGTTTATACAGCAATTCCATTCTTTTTTAAATATAAGTTGATTTTAGATTAAAACAGAGCCATATAAAGCAGCAGACAATATGAATTCCTTTAAGGAATTGTATTCCATTTTTATCCCATTTAATGCATCTGATTGTCTTGAATGATTCTTTCTTTGTCTTTAAATACAGTGTTGAGAGTGCAGAATTTCACTAAAATTGTAAAATAATAATAATAATTATAAATTTAAAATAGAGGAGGGGGAACGTAGGGTTACTTAATGTAAACCCTGCTTCCTTAGAAACTGAGTACATTATGTGTTTTCACTGTGAAAATCACCTTGGTGTAACCAACTACAAAAACTCCAGTAACGTCACATCTGTCTGAGATAGACGAGCTGAGCTTGGGGCTTCGCCCACCTTATATTACTGCCAGTCAACAAACCACCTCTTACTTTTTTAATTCAGGTTTCCTTTCATGCCCCCAAAAATGTTGGCAAAACACTTCACTCTGTTGGCAAAAAACAGAGTTCATGTTAAACAACTCAACCTTTTTTTTTTAACTTATTTTTACTCACTACACGAGATAACTATTCCCATATTGCATAAAAAGCCCTGAAGTCAAACAAAAGCTATCCTGAACCAGGATTAAGCAGGTTCTAACACTGAGTGAGCTGACAGAGCTAGAGATGGCTAAGCCATTTCGAGTATGTAAACGTGCATGAATGTGTGAAGTTTGGCACAAATAGCTGCAGCACAGAGATCCTCGACAGAGTCTCTCCGAAACATCCATCCATGCATCTGTAGTGAGACAGCTGTTAGCTTCAACAGTAGATGGTGGTGCAAGCTTATTCCCCGTATGGGCCACCATTTATGTAGTGAGACAGGGACAGCCGTCGCGGGCCACCATTTATGTAGTGAGCTAGCTGTTAGCTTCACTACTAATTAATTATTCTTAAAGCTAGTTCAAGCACAAAGAATATTAATTGTTTAATTAACAACGGATTCCTTCTTTTTCGAGTTAAATTTCTGCCATGTGACCAAGATAACTTGTGGAGTGTATAATTAGTGACATGAGACGCCATTTTATCTTTGACCCATCAGAATAAATGCAGTCATTTATTTAACAGAATCAAAATTTAACATCAAACATGTACACATTGATTGGCTGATCTGTTTCTGATTAATAAACTTAGTAAGAGGAGAATGATTCATCTCTGAAGGCACTTAACTTGATTTACTGGTGAATAGAAGTTTAAAGAGAAGGGATAAAGAAGTTTAAAGATTTAAAGAGGAGGTTTAGATGGATGAAGGAATATGTAAGGACCAGAAAATGGCACCCTTCCTCCGACCCCAGCTCAGCCCTCCGGTACACTCAGGGCGTGAACGACTTGTTACCTGAACAGAGGATACATCAACTCCGAAACAGAGGTCCACTGGCATGCTACCTTTTCAGCGTCTCCGGTCAGGGTGGCTGAGAATCTTCCGAAGTAGTTCCATGTACTCTGTTCAACAGAATAAGCTTCCTTAGAAGTTGAGAGCATTTAATGCTCGGTTTGAGTTCACAGCGAGGCAGCTGGGACTCCGCTGGAATGAACGGACCCTTGGCACATGGTCCAATCCATCAGCTACTTAGTTCAGCTAGAAGACTCCAGTAAGACTGAAAGTTCCAAGAAGACTGGAAAGACTGGGAAGACCGGGAAGACTGATTAGTTCCAAGAAGTTCTGACTTTTAAAGGGTATCCACTTCCTGTTATGTGGTACTTCCTGATTGGTTAGCACAACCAGCAGGGGTGTAGTTTTAGTGATGTCAGAAGGTTATTAGGAGTCAGCAGACAGCAGAAATGTTTTTAAGAATGGTTAGTACAGACAGGAAAATATTTTGAAGAAATGAGAGACAGCAGGTGCCAGCCAGTCCTTATTTACTGTCCGAGAGTTTTAAAAACAAGGCACTTCGTTCTCATAACTTGTCTTCTGACTTTTGACCAACATCAGGTCCACTCCTCACACAGACAGAAGAGTAAATGCACACTTACTTCGTAAATAGACATTTAACTTGTATGATCCAAGTCTAATGAGGTTTAAAAATCATTAATACTGTTTCACAGTTGATTTAAATGAGTGGTTCACTTCAACATTAGAAATGGTATGAACTAAACACACTTTTGATTATCAAGATATTGTAAAATAATAATGAAAATATAAAAAGAAGAGTGTTCTATTAATTGATTAATTCAGGATACAATTAAATAGTCTCTTGATGAGATAATTTGTATTTTGGATTCAAATCAATGAAATAACAGTTCCTGTCCCCTGAAGGTATTCAGAGACAGATTGATGTTGGAGGTCTAGTTCACTACACATCTTCTTCCACTTATTCATTGTTGGGTTGCGGAGGCAGCGTGTCCAGGAGAGAAACCCAGATAATCCTCTCCCCAGCAACACTTTCCAGCTTGTTCTCAGTGAGGGTGATAAATTAACCTTCTCAACTGTGACAAAATATGCTTGCCCCTAGGGAGGTTCATGGTTCCTTTGACAGGACCTAAATGATTTTTGACACCCAGGGCAAAGATGTCCACCATTATCCCAGTTGTCCCACTAAGATCAGTGTTGAAGAACTCAGACCGAGAGGTGGAAAAGCAAATAGTGACCATTGTGGCCAGTATATTCACTCACAGTGATGTATCTGCACCTGACAGGGAAGAAAACAATGGACAGTGGGTGTTTTCCTATGAGGTGAAGCGATCTACAGCAACCCTACCATATCTCTGCCAGATTTGTTCCACCACTTGAGGATGGATTTCCCACTTTTTAACCAGTGGTTTTCCCCTGGAAAATGATCTGGTCTTCCTTTTAGGATCCTCATCACATGGATTGCCTGAAATAACAAAAATCTGGTGCTGCTACACAGAATTACCACCCACTCTGCATAGCTGTGGGGAATGGGTCCCACTGATTTAGGCTACCACTGTAGAGTTGTCCATCTTTATTAAAACAGAATGGTCTTTTAAATGAAATGGCTTTAAAAATGCTTTAAAGCTAAAAACACTGCCTGCAGTTCTTGCACATTTATTGTATGTGAAGCAGCAACATTCTCCACAAGTACATATTGTTCACTACACTGCCCATCATGGTTGGAACTGCCTGTTAGGGATGTGTTTGTTGTTATAGTAACCCTGAACATCACTAACCCCAGCAGTACACCGTGGCAAAAACCTGCTGGATCCCTCCATGTCTGAACAGCCTTCATATACCTGGTATGTGGTATTTTTACTCTGCAATGCAAAGGACAGCAACCCATGGCTGAAAATCCCTCATTATGAGAAGCTCCAGTTCTGCTACAAAAATCACCAAAGTCATTAGCCCAAGTACTGTAGATTGTTTCTTCAGTATTTTTTTTCTGTAATGTGCATTAATTAAGGATCAACAAAAATAAATAAATAAAAGAAAACATGACATATTTGAACTGGTGGCCCTTTACAAAAAGTTCAGGCCCACCTATTACCAAACCCGTGCTTCCATTGTGTTTCATGTTGTAAACAATTCATTACTTTTCAAATTGTAGGGCGGGGATGACTCAGCTACTACTATGCTAAACATTAGCTCAATAGTTGTTTATTGACCTGCTTATGGTTGTTTTGGGCTTTGCTAAGACTGTGGCAGCCATCTGAAAAACTATGACTCTTGATCCCAATCAGTTAGATGTTCATGCAGTGTTTAATGATTTGAGAGCTTCACTAAATTTTCTCCACTGTTAAATAACTAATGGTATTTTAAACACAAAGGTAGCTAAAGAAAGCAGACCTTAACCACTTTTGTTGTTTTAGAACCCTCAGTCTTTCAATTATCTGCTGGTTTCACCTGTTAGGTTCCCATGCCAGTGACCTCAGACCTGGACCCTCTGGCCATGCTGACCGATGATGCTGACATTGCAGCATGGCAGAACGAGGGCCTGCCTGCAGACAAGATGTCAACTGAAAATGCTACCATTCTGACTTCCTGCCAGCGCTGGCCTCTCATGGTGGACCCCCAACTTCAGGGCATCAAATGGATCAAAAACAAATATGGAGAAAAGCTCAAAGTTATCCGCATCGAACAGCGAGGGTGAGATGGCGAAGTCCAGATGTTTTTTATTTTTTAAAATAAGACAGACAGGATTTTTTATTCTTAGTTTATTTTTATGTTGGTTTTTTGTTTGTTTGTTTGTTTGTCTTTGTACAAAAGTTACCTGGATGCAGTGGAGAGAGCATTGGCAGCAGGCGATGTGGTTTTGATTGAGAATATTGGGGAAACATTGGATCCTGTTCTAGGGCCTCTGCTGGGCAGAGAAACCATCAAGAAGGGCAGGTGAGTCTTTGTCAAGGTGCTGATAAAAAATGTTAATGGTTGCATTATTTGTTCAAGTAAGGTGAGTCTGTGATTGGTAGGCTGCAGGTTCGACTCCCCGGACAGACAACATAAAAATGTGGGTGGAAAAGGTGAAACAACCACACCTGCCTCCTCCCTCATTTGTCCCACGCTGAGCCCTTGAGCCAGGCCTTTTTATATATGTATATATATATATATATATATATATATATATTCAATGATTCAAGGTTCTTTATTTATAGTCATATGCACCCCATGTACTACATGTGGTGGAACAAAATTGTGTACACAGGGTCCCAGTTACATCCAACAAAAAAAAAAATAAAAATGAAAACAGTAATAAGATCTAAGATATGAACTAAGAAAAACATTAATTCACTCTCCTGCTGGATTTAAATCAACACTGTGGAAATATTTTGGATTCCAACAGAAGGACGGCTAAACAGACAAAACTCATGTCGTATGCAACAGGTGCCAGTGTGAGTTAAAATACACAGGAAAAAACAAATTTGGCTGTTCACCTGAAGAAGAAACACGGCATTGATAGCCATATAATGTAAGCTCAATATCTATTTTTGTTTCTTTATAAATGAAAGGTAATCAGGGCACTTTTAAGTTAACTAGTTTAAAAAAGGCACTTAAACATGAGAAATGTGAGACTATACTGACATTTATTTATATGTAAATGAGATGGGCATTTGATATCGCAATAAATCGATCACAGACTTATGAATCGAATAGAATTGAAATCGTATCGTGACAGACATTGTGATATCAAGAAAAATCGTATCGTCATACAAACAATTCAATATAATATGGTATTGTGGTAAAGCTGGTGATTTACACCCTTTATATATATATATATATATACATATATATATATACATATTGTGTGTGTATAGCCCGAAGAACGTCAAAATTAGTAAAAGCAAAATTATAATAAAAGCTGCACAGATTGTTCACTTTCATCCCAACGAATGTGTTCAATGCTTCATAAAAATGGTGTTGTTCATATTACGTTTGGAGATTTACGCAGTAGCTCCTACATGTTTAATTGTTTTGCTTGAGATTTTTCCAGAAATAAAGTACAGCTTTTATTCTTCTACGATCCTGTTTGATGTTTTGTAGATCACACATTTTAATCACTTGAAAATGGACAGATTATTGTAACATTTCTAACTCAAAGGTAAATCCTCTGGTGTGTTTCAGTGATGTGTTGGTAGGCACTGGTATAAACCATATCATCTATGATGAAAACTTTTTAGGTACATAAAGATTGGAGACAAGGAGTGCGAGTACAACCCTAGTTTCCGCCTTATTCTGCACACCAAGCTGGCCAGCCCTCATTACCAGCCAGAGCTACAGGCCCAGTGCACCTTGATCAACTTCACCGTGACCAGAGACGGACTGGAGGATCAGCTGCTGGCTGCTGTGGTCAGCATGGAGAGACCTGACCTGGAACAGCTGAAGGTAGGAAGGCAGAACATCTGTGAAGGGTGGGGGAAAGCTGTCAGGAAAAAAAAGTTTAACAAGCTGTCACTCTTTTTGAATTTTATCAGAAGGTAAACTTTCTAATACATCATCCTGCTGGAATTTCCCCACTATAACATCTCTTGTGAGCAGGTGTAATTAAAGGAAAGAGTCAGAGAAGTGAGTGGCCTCCAGAAACGGAGTAAAGCACGCCAGCTTGTCATTATCCATTTTTAACAATGCTCGTCAGCAAAAAAAATTCTCTCTTCAAACTTCACAAGAAGCTGCAAGTCCACACTCTTTGATTCCAAAACAATCAGCCAGAGCTTTTGATTAGCACCCAGTGGATGGTTGATAATTATCAGGCTTTCTGCAGGGGACTCACCATGTCACCACTCAGTGTGTGTGCACGTGATTTTATTCACATGTGAACATTGATTAAACACAACAGGACATTACCATTTTAAATGGGCATGAAATAATGTTTTTAAAATACAAATATAGTATTATCAATCTGAATTAGTATTCAGCTGTTTTTCTTGTAGTAATTTCACATTCGCTTATTTCACACCATTTCCTGTTACTTGTTGGGGATACTGGAGCACTGGTCCTAATAAAAACAAACAAAAACAACAATTAGACTGCTGCTGTGGGCTTTTTATCGTTGACCTGGGTAACACTTGTGGAGTGTAAGAAAGGGGTGGTAGTCAGAATTTTATGAAAGGGCCGGCGTGCGTTCCAGTTATCGAGGGATCACACTGATCAGCCTCCCAGGAAAAGTTTGCTCCAAGCTCTGCCCAATAGTCCAACCTCAGATTCAGGAGAAGCAGTGTGTCCTCTGTTGAAAACTTGCTAAGGAGGTAACAGGATTTCATCATCTAGTCTACATTTGTTTCATGGACCTGCTTAAAACCATGTTCCTTCCCTAAGGCATTTTGTGGAGCATGCTGTAGGACTATGGGATAGCAGGTTCCCTTTTAATTGCTGCCTGTATAAGCAAAGCCATAACTGTCTACCTTCTCGACACAAATGAGATTGTTGTGCAGGTTGGGCTCCACCAGGGGCTTCCCCTCATCTCTGATACTGTTGGTGTTGTTCAAGGACAGGATCTCAAGGTGCAACGGTGGAGAGAAGAGTGTGTGGTTTGGGAACCATGGATTTTTACCTCTGTTTTTACAAGATGTTGATCAAGACTTGACATGAGGTTTGGGATGGCTGAGTGTGAAGTAGCTAGCATGAGAGTAACCTCCTCCAAGTCAGAGGCAATTATCAACCTCAAAAACAAACAGAATGCTTTCCTTTGGTTGGATGAGTTTTTGCCTCAAGCAAAGGACATCAAGCATTTGAAAGTCAAGTTCAAAAGCAATATCAGGTCTACGGGGTGTATGAACCAATTGATTAGGACATTGTGCACAATAATGAACACCTTGCTCAAGTACGTCACAATGAAAAGGAGCTAAGACAGAAAGCGAGCCTCTCTTAGGCCCTGTTTACATGATGTGTAACCGCTGCGGTTCAGTCATTCATTTACATGACAACAGTCCTCATTCTCTCTGAAACTGAAGGTTTCTGAATCCAGGTCTCAGAGGGGAGATTTTTGGGGGGAACTCCCCACAGAGATGTGAAATGCTCCACAAGTGAAGTCGCACATGCGCACCACAGGCGGCTGCAGTCCAAAGTTTTTTCTGCACTAACAACAGTTATAGTAAATGTCAGAGAGCAGAGTGTTTTTGTGCTGCTCACCCTTTTTCAGCATGTAAGAGCAAAACTAATAAAATTCAGGGTCCAAAGAGACGTTTGTGTGTTTACCAGTTTGGACATAAATCATGTAGGAGCAGCACGGTGGTGCAACTGATAGAGCTGGTGCCTCTCAGTAAGCAGGTTACCCTGGTTCAAATCCCGGTCTGGGGACCTTTCTGGATGGAGTTTGCATGTTCTCTCTGTGCGTCGGCTTTCTCCGGGTACTCCAGTTTCCTCCCACAGACCAAAAACATGCATGTTAGGCTGATTTATAACTCTAAATTGTCCCTAGGTGTGAGTGAAAGAGTGAATGGTTGTTTGTCTCTTTTGTTTCTATGTGTCCCTGTGATGGACTGGAGACATGTCCAAGTGTCCCTGTGATGGACTGGAGACCTGTCCAGGTGTCCCTGTGATGGACTGGAGACCTGTCAAGGATGTCCCTGTGATGGACTGGAGACCTATCAAGGATGTCCCTCAGCAGCACATATGACAGTTTAGGTCAAAATACTACAATTTTAAAGTGACAGTACTGTAGTTCATAATTTCTTATCTGGCAACCCAACTGATATGGAAACTACAGTGTTATTGTGTAAACCCGCTGATTTTTTAGTTATTACTCCCAATAAACATTGAAAAAACACAAATGTTTCCAAAGGTTGTTCTCATGTAAATGGGGCCTTAGGGCATTCACACCAGCCCTGTTTAGGCCGCTTTAATTGAACGCTCGTTTTCCTAGAAAGTCCAGTTTGTTTGGGGAGGTGTGAACGCGTCACCTAACTCTGTCATGGAACAAAAAGGCGAACTCTAGCCTGGGCTAAAACCTAGGTCTCGGTCCGGAAGAAGAGAACTCCAATGCGGTTCCAGTACAGTGTGAATGTAAACAGACCGGGCCCCGCTCCACAAACGTGGAGTACAGCGCAGGGCAAACAAACACGCATTTCTCTTACCTTATATGGAGCCATCAGCTGCTTTGTGTGAAAAACAATATTCTCCATGGTCTTCTGCCTCATCTTCTGCTCATGCTGAGTCCATTTTTGAAAAATGACTAAATATAACTCCTAAAACTGCTAAAACTTGATGCCACTCCGTTTTTGTTTTTATTTCCAGAAGAAGAAGAAGAAGAAGTGTCTTCAAAGGTTTTTGTGTTGTTTTTTTCAGTAGTTCTTGGTGCAGCACCCCCACAGGTGAGTGGGGGAACAAGTTGGTTCGACTGCACAGTGCAGTGTGAATGCAAACACACCAGCTCAAATGTAAACAAAATGTTATGAATATTGGTCCCAACCGAACCGAGTCTACCGGACTATCAGGTGTAAAAACAACCTTAATCTCTGATGGAGAGAATTGAGGGGGGTCCATTCATACATAAGTGGGACATTTTCAAGTGTGAACAATTATTGTTTTTGTTGCTAGATAGTTCTTGTTAAAATGGAATCACAGTGCCCCCCCCCCCCCCCATTTGTCATTTTAAAAACTACCCTTGTAAACATGACACTCTTTCTAGAAATGCATTAATCTTTATAGAAACATTAAAACAACCCAAAACACAAAAGTAACTATGCCTCTAACAGTAAAACAAATCAGAGTCAGAGTCAGAGTTTCTTTATTGTCATTCGCACCTCATGTGGTACATGTGGTGGAGCGAAATTATGTACACAGGGTCCCAGTTACA